GTAAGTTTATATTTTCTAAGTATATTACTCAATATTCTTTGGAATATTGCTGGTGCTGTCTTCAGACCGAACGGTAGACAAGTCCATTGGAAGTGTCCTTCTTGTGTTACAAATCCTGTCTTCTTTCTGTCTTCTACTCTAAGTGGTATAGACCAAAAAGCGGAGTTTATGTCTAGACTTGTGAAATAGTTGCAATTCCTTGTCTTTATCATTAGGTCATCAATTAACGGGAATGGCTGAGCCTGTGGTACTACAATTTTATTTAAATCTCTAAAGTCTATACATAGTCTTGACTTTTTATTTTCTTCTTTCTTAAATGCTAAAGTTATTGGTGCTGCAAATAGACTATAGGACTCCTCTATTAGCTTATTATCTAATAATTTTGATATTTGTTCTGCTATTTCTTTTTTGTCTTTTATAGTGCATCTATATGGCCTCTTTCTGCAGTATTTATCTAATAACAAATCTATTCTTGCTTTATATCCTTTAACTGATCCTATGTCATACTTGTCCTTGGCAAAAACTGATTTATGTCGTTGTATTAGCTTATTAATCTCTTTCCTTTTTGTTTCATCTAAATGATTTACTTTTATTTCAAATTCTTTTTCTTTAATATGTTCGTTACAATTTATTTTATATTCCTTTTCATATTTGTTAACCTCGTTTTCTCTCTTGATTATTCTTTCTTCTTTTTAATATTTTCTTGTTGAAAATATAGTTTTTGAGTAATTTTTAACTTTTCATTTTGTACTAACTTGTATGTTTTTATCATGTCTAATCCTATTAAAAAATCATATCTGAAATGCGCATCATCGATAATGTAAACATCCACTTTTTCTTCTATTTCGAAAATTTTAATTTTTAGCTTCGTCAAACCACAAGTTTTTTTAACACTATTAATTGTAACTAAATTTTGTTCATTTACATTATTATTCTCGTTTTTTAATTTTAGTAATTTGGAATTAATTAGAGAAACATTCGAACCTGAATCATACACTCCATAGATCTCTAGTTTAGAATTTATTATGAGTTTGACTTTAATTAATCGTGTTACTATTAGTTTTTTTGTTTTGTTTCATTTAACTCTGCTTCAATCATTGAATTGTTGACATGTTTTATATATCTTCTATCAAATTTATTATTATCTTTCATTTTAAACCAACATGCAGCCTCTGGATGGTAGCGTATACCTTTATTTAACCGTTCACATATTTTGCATGCGGTACGTTCCTCAATTTTGTTATATATCTTCTGATTTTCGTATCTCGTGTAGGCTACATTCTTATTTTTATTCATCAAATGTTCATACTCTCCAAATTGTAGATTACCATCTTCATCTATGTATCTTAGTTCATTTGTCATTGTAATCCAAATTTTTCTCGTCTGATGTCTTTTTTTTTCAAACTATTTTTTATTTTATTGTACGCAGCTGTCTTTATTAACTCTTTATGAAGACTAGCAGACTGTAGTTCTTCTGGAATAGCAAACACTTTTTCATCTCTTGTCGTTATGGAGGTTATACAATACAATTTGACTTTCCATCACTCGCTGGCAACACTGCAAATTCAAATCGTAGCTGGTCCATTTTATAATTCATTTAGGTTTCTCAATAAACGGAAATGTCGTTTTATAAGGGTTTTGATTATAATTTAGGATTTAAACAAACAAATGTGTTGCTTCTGAAAACAAAGTTTTTATTTTGTTAAATGTTAAAAAAAAATCATTATTGGAAAAAAAACTCACCTGAAAACAAAGAAACGACATTTAAAGTTTATTATTTCACAAATTATAATCAGTTTGTCACAAAATATATTTCATTAAACTTTACTTTTAGGTTTTCTTTTAACCTCTCAACAAAAACCCCAGACAAAAAATTCGCAGTGTATTATCAATCGCGCAAAGCGCGACAAAATCAAAATTTAAAAAATATAGTTTCTTTACATATATACAAATAAATTCTTTAAAAAAATGAAATTCTAATGAAAAATTTTAACAACGAAAATTTAAAAATTTTTGAATGATAGTTTCCAAGGTAGCAAAAACAGCGTCAAAATTGTTGGGGCGAAATTAATTCAATTTATTATTATTATTATTTTATTGTTGTTGTCGTTATTATTATTATTGTTATTCCAGTTTTCACAGCTTGGTTTTCAAAGCTGGTCATTGATGAATCCGGGGTTCAACTAGATCCCAAAGAGATTCATCCAAGGATTTTTTTATTATGCACACTGTTCCTAAAAATGCTATTTTTTGAACTTCGGTCAGAGCTGGTTTTCCTGGAAGTTCTTTTAAAGTTTTTTCTAAATTTTAGAGACTACTCCTAGTGCTTCCATTACTATCGGAATAACCTTTGCTTTCAAGTTTTACATTCTTTGTATCTCGATTTAAAGGTTTTTGTACTTGCATATCTTTTCGGTCTCTTTTTGCAAAACGTGAATCGTCTGGAACAGACATATTTTTTCGTTTTTATCTTGGACAATGATATCTGGTCTGTTTGTCTCTATTTTTCTATCTGTTATAACTGGTGTGTCCCATAAAATTTGACCATTGACATAGTTTGTTACATTATTATTATTATTATTATTATTATTATTATTATTATTATTATTATTATTATTATTATTAGGAATAATAGAGCTGCGTTTACACAGCTTACTTTTTTTTATCGTAATAATCTAGTTTTAAAGTCGTTTAATATATTTAATTTGGTATGTTGCTGTAAAGAAAATTGCGAGCTTTTTAAATATATATTTTTACTAGGTTTTATATTATAACTTTAATTTCAAAGTATTTTTAAAAGTTTTTACTAATACTTCTGGTTTTAATAATTTTTAATATGGTGATATGCCCGTATTGCTTTAAAAACTTTCAAGTTTTAAGTAGACACTCCTGGTGTTGTAAACAAAACTTGCAATTCAACCAACAACAATACAGTTTCTAATGTAACTCCAAATAAAAAGAATTAATCTAAAATAGTTACAGATAATAATATAGCTTTTGACGATATTTCAAATAACATTTCAACTAATAATAATTTAGATAACAGAGTTAATAAAAATAAAAATAACAGTATTTTTAAAGTAATAGTTACAGATAAAAATATAGTTCCAGACAATATTTCAAATTTCATTAATAATACTTTAGATAATAGAGTTGTAACTACCAATATTTCTGTAACTACCAACCTATCTAAAAATGTTTCGAACATTAATATTTCAACTATGAACTTTGAAAATATGCTGCCTTGTCTCTGCGGAAAATACTTCAAAGGTAGAAAAGGTCTAATAATGCATCATACATCATGCAACACATTCAAGACATGTCGAACAATCAACTCGCTCGATGAAGAAAGTGATGCAGCCAACGAACCACAAACTTTTCAAAACAAGTCCGCCCAGCCAGCAACTTCGCACCCTCTCCCAAGTATCAAACTGCCAAAAACCTGACAACAATGCATATTTCCACCACAAGCTATACGATCTTAACAATATCGACGACATTGACAACTTCACCCTATCATTTCAAAATTCAATCTACCAATATTTTGCCTAAACATATGACACGTTAAAACTCAAAAAATCTATAAACGACAATCAATTAAAGAAAAATCTAAAAATTTTCGGTCGCAACAATGATAACTAAATCAATGAAATAAAAACCCTGAGCAAACAAATCAGATCAAAACTTAAACAGGCAAAGCTGGCTAAACCAGGCGGTCTATCAGATATGTCGAACCAATTGTCAAACAACTTTTGGCGAACATGTAAGAAAACGTTTCTACCAACTACTTCACTGCCCCCTCTATTCGATGTTAAAAAAGGTAGTGAACACTTTAGCAACGTGATGATGAAGGGTGAAAGAAAAAAGTTTTTTCATCCCGAACTGGATTCCATCCTTTCCTTCGCCAAAGTTCAATGGCAACACTGATCCTCCTACGTATGAAGAAATATTGACAATCATACACAAAAGTAAATCCAGAGCTTCTCCATGCCCGCTAGACCAGATGTCGATTATAATTTTTTTAAAATGCTCAATTCTCAGAACCTTTCTTTACTGGCTGCTATCGAAATGTTGGGTTTCATCAACAGTTCCAAATTGCTGGAGGAGAGGCTTAACGATCCTGATTATCAAAAAAGGTGACGCCAGTGACCCCTCAAATTTCAGACCTATAACCTTACAACCCGTCCTCTACAAAGTTTTATCCTTACTTATAAACAAATCTCTACTAATTTCTCTACTAATTTCAACACCAACATCTAAAAAGGGTTTTACCTTAAAGTCGACGGCTTAACAGAACATACATGTTAGCACACCTGATTGAAGATGCCAGAAAAAAACCAGCGAACCAATATCGTTGCTTTACTCGACCTAATAAATGCTTTCGGTGAAGTAAATCATTTCCTCGTCAGTTCATTCTTATCATTCCACCATGTTGCACAACAGTTTAAATTATTAATTATGTCGATATAATCAAACTACTCAATACAAGTTTTCATCAACAACAAACTAACGTTAGCTCTGTCGGTCGAAAGTGGGGTCCTCCAGGGTGATCCGTGCTATCTACTACTCTTCAACCTTTGTTTTAACCGCTGATAAAGATTCAAGAAACTTAAGAGTATGATGGTTGCGGTTACTTTTGGGGGCCAACTTCAGGGCTAAAAGCCAAATTCTGGCTCCAATTTGCCGACGACTTGGCATTAATTGCCCACAGTACAAAAAGTGCCCAGAAGCTAATTGATTTGAACTACGCTTGATATAAGTGGTCAAACATGCAGATGCGAATAGACAAATGTAGCGCATTTGGCATGAAGAAAAAAGATGGAGCATCCAAACAGTTTTCTCTGTTTGGATGCTCCATCTGACGATCGATCATGAGGTGATCCCCGATATAAAAATTTGTGATAGCTTTGTCTACTTGGGCAAATCATATGATTTTGAGGGCAAAGACAAAAAAGCCAAAAAGGCAATTGTTTCAAAACTGACCAGTTTCTTGGAAACCACTTTGTCTCCCAATATTATGATATTATTATAATTATTATGGTACGTTAACAAGAGAGTTGGCCGGTTTGTACCACTCACTGTTTATATACATAATTTTTTGTTTTTATTGTCATAATTAGTTTTTAAAATAGGTTCATTTTTATTCGTAAAAAATTGCTAGAATATTGTAGTTTTAATTTAAATAGGTTCCTTTTATATTAGTTTTATTAGTTTAATAATTTAAATTAATATTTTATTTAACTTAAAAGGCCTGAAAAGTGCATTCATTGCAACAAGACATTTGTATCAATAGGTAGACACTCCTGGCGCTGTTCTAAAGTTAAATCCTGATAACAATAGTTCAATCGTATCTACTAAATTCAATGTAAAAAAATACTTAGGGATTTTTAAATTGTAACTTTAAGTTTTCTTTGCCATCAATTTTTTGCGCCAAATTAGACAATCAGTTGTTTGCATTTCATTTAAATTTAGAGCTTTCACGTCTTGCTCGATTGTTTACGACTAGGACTTCTTTGGACGGCCTTTAGGACGTGTGCCAGGTACTTCAACATCTGCAAGAGAAGTTATGGCACTGTTTCCACTTCGTTTAACATGACCAAACCACCGCAGATGGTGTTGCCGGCATTCGTTCTTTATATCATCTAAACCAGCACGACGCAAGATTCGGTAGATTTGATGTGGTCCTTCAGACTAATTCGTAGCATCTATCGGAGCATTTTCATGTCGGTTCGTTAAAGTTGTTGTTCCAGTTTAGTTGTTATTGGCCATGTTTCTGCACCATATAACAAAACCGGACGTATCACAGATTTATAAAGTCTTGATTGTAGTGGTAGTGAGATGTCACGCCGCATCAATATAGAGGCAAGTATATGCGATTTATTCCAGGCTGCACGTTTGAACAACGTTTGTGACACTACTGGTTACACTGCTGACACTTGATTGAATTGTTACCTACACCAGCTTTACAAACTAAACAAGGGCATCGTCCAGTAGCTGTGGGTTGGATGGGTTCGCCAGTGTTCATTGCTATGGTTTTGCTGATATTGAGTTTGAATCCATGATCGGCGAGTCTGGTGTTCCAATCTTCAAACATCTGTGCTGCATTCTGCTTATATGTGGTTGTTAAAACGATATCATCAGCATATTTTAAATTCCAAATGTCACCAGTGCGTATCGGTTTTGTGATTTCTTCCATCACAGTTATAAATAACAGTGAACTGAGAATCGAGCCTTGGTGAACTCTAATGCCAATGTCAAATGCATCTGTGTTTCCAACCGTTGTGCTGACGAAAGTCTTAGTATTCGTATACATTTTCCATCACAAGTCAAATAAGTTATTCTGGAATGAGTTGTCGACGTAG